CCGCGCTCCAAACATACACCTTTAATAATCTTTTTCGAATTTCTAAATTAATCGTTCTCTACATAGAAGTGACTTCTTTTTATTGAAGGCGATTCGACCCTGCGCTATTCTATACTTTATATCCCTAGTAATTCATAAGTGAAAAAAAAATCTAATTCCATTAAAAACAATAGCTACTCCTGTTTCAATTTGTAAATAATGGTACGATAAATTTTATAGTATTTGTGCCTCTGTAATGTGTGTAAAGGATAGGTTATTCCATTCAGAAGTAAGACGTGGAAGTGCTTTCGGTTAGAAGATATTAAACATGACGCAAAATACTACAAACGTGAAATTTTCTAAAAAAAAAATCGGTTGTCTGTAAAGTCGGTTTACTGACGATAGTTGAACGTGACAACGTCATAAGAAAATACTGATGGAATGGTTTCATTTTTCAAAAGAAAATTTTAATTTTATTTATTTGATAGATATTTTGTATGTATATAGAGAAGGAGGTAAATGGAAATGTATTATTGTATAGCAGCTGTCCACGCGGACGCATCGCTCACTCAAGTAGGAGAGAGACAGATGTCGAACGCTGCCGAACGCGGAGGCCGATTGTGCCTCTTTGTCGCTCGTTCCGCGCTCTCGCTTGCACTTCAAGCCTTAAATGGAACGCCTCAGAGCGAGGTAACGCCGCATGAGTCACGTTTTTTCGTGCGTGCATTTTATTTACATGTCCGAACCATTTCAACTGGTCAGAACGTTACTACAAGTTGAATTTAAGTTTTCCACATTGATTTTGAGAGGTTATAAACTCTCGTGACCGCCAGCTTTGAAATTAGATTGGTTACCGGCATGGGTTGAACAATTGCAGTAGGTAATCAAAAAATGTTGAAAATCTAAGCCGTAGACGTAAACGCAGACGGTTAAAACGCCAGCACCTTTTGTAAATAATGACTCGCCATTTGGAGTCAAATCCAACTGACACGCGCTGGAATGAAACTTGTGGAGTGATTAATTGCTGCAATAGTAAAGAGGACATGTATATTCTCGACAGTCACTTCAATCATCCTGACAAATTGGTGCGACACAACTTCTTTTACACTCCTTCGCCTTGCCGTCGAGCTACCGCACTGTTTCTAATTTAATGGTTGCTTCTGTCCTTACATATATTATTCATTGTTAATAAGCCGACTTCTTTTGGATCCGAGGAAAAACGATAGCATTTTTCATCCTAGACGTAAGTGAATTTAAATTTTTCGTCGTTTCCTCTAGAAATTGGTTTTATATTCAAATAGCGTATTTTAATGTTAATATTAATAAAAATACTAACTAAGAAAACACTAACAAAAACAAATAACAATTTATATACAAAAACACGAAATATAAACAAATAACAAATAGCAAAAAGACACAAGGAGAATGAAACATACATACGAGAACAAAGTGACAAAAAGAACCTGATAATACAACAGTAACAATAATAAAGACAACAAAATAAAAACAATGCAGACAATAGCAGAAACAACTTGCAAGCGGTAGTAGAAAGTGTAGACTGTAAACTGTGTATAGATATGAAACTTTTTTTTTAAACTTTTGGGTGTTTCATTCCCATCAGCCACTAATGCTGGTAGGCGGGCAGTCCCTCCGGACTATACCGGAACGTAGGGCGGAAGGCCCTCTTCAGCCTGCTTTCAGTAATCGTGGGAATGGGTGGGTGGTGGTTCGGGTGAGAAAGATGAGACGGACGAAATGAAGACAGAAGTGAATGAAAGATTATCTGTGGAATATTACTGCCTTAGCATTTGCCTAAGTGATCCAAGGAAACACAGAAAAACTTGGACCAAGGCAGACGGACCCGGAATCGAACCGGCGTCCTCCCGANCTCTTCATTTCTAACCTTTTCTACCCACGTTATCCTCATCAGTCGCCTATAACACCACATTTCGAAGGCTTCTAACCTTTTCTTTTCCGCCGCGCCCACTGTCCATGTTTCGCACCCGTACAACGCCGCGCTCCAAACATACACCTTTAATAATCTTTTTCGAATTTCTAAATTAATCGTTCTCTACATAGAAGTGACTTCTTTTTATTGAAGGCGATTCGACCCTGCGCTATTCTATACTTTATATCCCTAGTAATTCATAAGTGAAAAAAAAATCTAATTCCATTAAAAACAATAGCTACTCCTGTTTCAATTTGTAAATAATGGTACGATAAATTTTATAGTATTTGTGCCTCTGTAATGTGTGTAAAGGATAGGTTATTCCATTCAGAAGTAAGACGTGGAAGTGCTTTCGGTTAGAAGATATTAAACATGACGCAAAATACTACAAACGTGAAATTTTCTAAAAAAAAAATCGGTTGTCTGTAAAGTCGGTTTACTGACGAAACGGCTACATGTGACATTAGCTCTGGTTCCTTGGGAAAATTTTAATTTTATTTATTTGATAGATATTTTGTATGTATATAGAGAAGGAGGTAAATGGAAATGTATTATTGTATAGCAGCTGTCCACGCGGACGCATCGCTCACTCAAGTAGGAGAGAGACAGATGTCGAACGCTGCCGAACGCGGAGGCCGATTGTGCCTCTTTGTCGCTCGTTCCGCGCTCTCGCTTGCACTTCAAGCCTTAAATGGAACGCCTCAGAGCGAGGTAACGCCGCATGAGTCACGTTTTTTCGTGCGTGCATTTTATTTACATGTCCGAACCATTTCAACTGGTCAGAACGTTACTACAAGTTGAATTTAAGTTTTCCACATTGATTTTGAGAGGTTATAAACTCTCGTGACCGCCAGCTTTGAAATTAGATTGGTTACCGGCATGGGTTGAACAATTGCAGTAGGTAATCAAAAAATGTTGAAAATCTAAGCCGTAGACGTAAACGCAGACGGTTAAAACGCCAGCACCTTTTGTAAATAATGACTCGCCATTTGGAGTCAAATCCAACTGACACGCGCTGGAATGAAACTTGTGGAGTGATTAATTGCTGCAATAGTAAAGAGGACATGTATATTCTCGACAGTCACTTCAATCATCCTGACAAATTGGTGCGACACAACTTCTTTTACACTCCTTCGCCTTGCCGTCGAGCTACCGCACTGTTTCTAATTTAATGGTTGCTTCTGTCCTTACATATATTATTCATTGTTAATAAGCCGACTTCTTTTGGATCCGAGGAAAAACGATAGCATTTTTCATCCTAGACGTAAGTGAATTTAAATTTTTCGTCGTTTCCTCTAGAAATTGGTTTTATATTCAAATAGCGTATTTTAATGTTAATATTAATAAAAATACTAACTAAGAAAACACTAACAAAAACAAATAACAATTTATATACAAAAACACGAAATATAAACAAATAACAAATAGCAAAAAGACACAAGGAGAATGAAACATACATACGAGAACAAAGTGACAAAAAGAACCTGATAATACAACAGTAACAATAATAAAGACAACAAAATAAAAACAATGCAGACAATAGCAGAAACAACTTGCAAGCGGTAGTAGAAAGTGTAGACTGTAAACTGTGTATAGATATGAAACTTTTTTTTTAAACTTTTGGGTGTTTCATTCCCATCAGCCACTAATGCTGGTAGGCGGGCAGTCCCTCCGGACTATACCGGAACGTAGGGCGGAAGGCCCTCTTCAGCCTGCTTTCAGGAATCGTGGGAATGGGTGGGTGGTGGTTCGGGTGAGAAAGATGAGACGGACGAAATGAAGACAGAAGTGAATGAAAGATTATCTGTGGAATATTACTGCCTTAGCATTTGCCTAAGTGATCCAAGGAAACACAGAAAAACTTGGACCAAGGCAGACGGACCCGGAATCGAACCGGCGTCCTCCCGAATGCTAAGCAATGGTCTAGACCTGTAGGCCATGCCGCTCGGTGTATAGATATGAATTTTTCGGAGTATTTATAGGACATATATAAGTTGTTGGTGATAGAATGTTCTAGAAGGAAAAGTAGTGAGAGTGAGGGTGAGGATACTGGTTTATAGAAATACGTAGAATTAAACAGTATAGAATTCATGAGAAAGCAATTAAGGGTAAAACCAGATATTAGTATGAGAATACATGTAGGTGTGGTTGAGGTTGGATTTCTAGGTAAAAGTGATTGAGAGAACAAGTAGAGTTTATATTGAAAGGAAACCAAGGTATGACAAGATATGTAGTTGAAAAGAATTAAAATAATATTTGAAGTGATACAAAAATAAACTTGAAAGAATATTGAATAATGCTTAAGAAATAGTATTAAATATTTACAAAAAATATACATTTTTGTAGGTAGGTGCAAGACATTGGTAGTTTCTATATAGAAGCCATTCAAACCATTATTTTAAACTAGTCCTTTCCCCTCACTTCGTCCGCGTGGAGCTCGATTATATTGCAAACCCCCCTTTTAGACCTTTAAGGTTGATATTTTAAAAACTTGTATTACTTAGATGATACAGTTATAGCCTTTTTTCAAATTTTCTAGCTTCCTGACTTAGCGGTTTGGGATGTGTTTTGTTCGATACTTTGATGTCCTTGTGCGTTGAAAACAACAATGAATCAGTTTATTTTATTTCGACGCATCGATATTATTCAATTATTGAATATTTATCCTTTATGTGTAACGAATAAGATACTAAGAGGCAACGACTCCAATCGACCGTCGGGTCTGTCGCTCGGCGATTTCATTTTTTATGAGTTAGAACCCACATAAATGACCCAAGTAGGTACTATTTTCAATCCAAGAAAGTAAGTGGTAGATTTGAAATATCGAACGTGATTTTCTAAACGACTTTGATTCCAATATATACAAATACATGAAAGCTGTAAAATATTGTAAATAATAAATAAAACTGACGCGCCTAAAGATGTTCCACATCAAAAAAAATGATTGACAAAGTAAGTGTTGTGTAAACCGTAACATAACCATTTCTCTACTCAAATAAAAAACCTCGGAGAAAATCTTTCTCGTGGTTTACACTGACGATATTCCTCACACGTTATTCTTGTGTTTTTATAGGGGCAGAGGATGACGTCCATCATTTTTACGGAGATGACACACACACCGACTATTTCCGGCTGTTGCTGCGCGATGGAGAATCCCTGCTGGTGGGTGGAAGGTGAGTTGGCATTTTATTGGTAAATCCTCGACTTTTCTTTGTAGTAATGTATAAAAACAGCCGCGCGGCTTTCGGCCAATGCCGGATATTGTTTCGCTCGTAATCTTAGAAATTGCCCTTTGATCTTCGCTAATATTACTTCCACGCTACTTGTTTTTTGGATCGGTCGCTCTATTCCCGTTGTTGCAGTTTTCACGTTTACATCACATACGTGAATAAATTTTCATTGTCTTTAGGGAAAACCTATTCAATCGCGAAATTCTCTTCGTAATACTTACGTACTTACTTTGTTTTATTTTCCCCCTTTTGGCCCTTCTGTTTAATAAGGGATGGTACAGGAATGTGTTTTGTTCTTACATTACGTATTTAGGAAAAGTGTTGTGTGGGTGGATTCACTTTTTGTGAATTTCCACTGGCCCAACCGTAAATTAAAATTTAGTTTAATTATTATTAAGTAAAATAAATGAAGCATGAATTTAATCGTCTAATTCAAAGTCAGTGCAGCTTACTGCACCAATATTGGGTACTGGTGAATAGCTTTTTGTCACCGGTACCTACATCGGTTTTTTAATATATTGGTTTTTACTACTTTGGTTATCATAGAATAAGTTTATTGAAGTGAAACCTCTTTACGCACGGTAGGGTAAGTTCGTTTCATGCGAGTTGCTATGTAACGAAATCATGCAACGGATGTCCCCCCTCTACTCGGCCACCTAGTCGAGTTCGTAGAGGGGATCGCTTGAGCCGTAAGCGCGCTTCATTGCAACGTTCTTTGCAGGCAACTCCGGCATGTGTAGTGTAAAATTTAAATTCATAGTGTACAAATAATACCATTAAACCAATTCCTTAACCCCTATACCAGTATGTTTGTGTATTTGAAGACGTTTCACTTCAGTAGCGTGTTGTATAATTACATGTTTAATTGTTTTTTTTTGTAAAACTATGGTGAATCTCGCCGTGGGTTAGCCACCCCTGGGCTAGAGGTGCGCTGGCTCCTTTTTAATTTATATGTCTGTTAGCCAATTGTGTCAATAGATTCACTTCTTTGATCCACTGACCAGATTTTCGTCATTCAACAAAAGTTTGTGTTCGGCGTGCAATCTTCGGTTCTGTTATTTAGGGTCTCTTTGTATTTATTTGAATTAAGGATGTTTGGGAGGTACAATCGGAGACAAGACTACATAAAATTGGAAATTCGTGATTAATTAGGTTTTGCAGCATATCATGAGGTAAATAAATATTATCTACACCAAAAAAAAAGTATATACGGTTTGAGAGAAAATTTGGAATTTGACCAAAAACTGAATAAAATAAGAAATACCGAATAATATGGAAAATTTTTAACTGACTTTTGGCAGTGAATATGCCTTGATTTCAACTTCGAAACAAAAAAATATTTAGTTTCAATCTTTATTAATAATGAGCGTAAAACTTTTTAATATGTTTAAATAATAATTAAAACTTTAAAATTGCATTTATTTCAGACAATTATAAATATTATCATTATATTATCAAGTAAAAACGAGATTTTCAGCTAATTTTTCATTTTTTCCTCGATAACCATTTAGTGAATTTAAATAACCTTACGCTAAAGTGATTCTCCATAGTTCAAGTTACTTATTATAAAAGTTTGAAATTTCTGGTAGCTTTTTTCTGTTAATAAAAATAAATTTAATCTGTTCGGTTAACGAATCTCCATAAAATGACGTGTAAAATTACAATTTTTTAAAATTTCAATAACTTTTTAACGGTTTAGTGAATGAGGAACGTTCTTCCAAATTTTTATTTGTCTCATTTTGACATACCTCCCAAACATCCTTAAACTAAATTTCAATTAATCATGAAAGAGATGATGCTCTCTTTCCTCTCTCTATTTAGTATATCATTTGATGTGAGATGTAATAGGAAACAAATCAGTTATTTGACTTGCCCATTTATCTATATATATCACCCTCTGTAGATTTACATTTTGTGCTTAAATTGTTTTAAATGACAAAAAAGGATTTTATAAAAAAGAGAAAAAAGGAAGAGGAAGTAGTAGGTCGACATTAATGGGTGAAGGTAAAGCGAGCGCGTATTGTTAATTTTGATAAAGGGCATACGCCTCGTACGTTATATGGAGTGTTTTGTGTTTTGTAAATACGCCCATTTGTTATTGTTTCGAATAGTACATTCAGAGGTGCAGCTGTCGTTTTTCTAAAATTGGCACGCAATTAACCAGCGAATTTTCACATAATGGTCGTTCGAAATAAATGACATCGCTAATGCCTCTCGTACTAGTTCGAAGTAGGTACATTGTTGCATGTCATGTGAAATATTAATCAAGCAATCGATGTATGTATGTACGTACATCAAGAGTACTTTTACAATAACGGGAACGGATTTTTTTTATTAATTCTATGTTTTTTTAATTGCAATTATTACAAGTTTTGTAATCAAAAGCGTATTGTAGGTATTAAAACTCCTGTAAAATCAATAGTAATAATTTTTGATGTCTGCTACTCTTATTATCTACAATTAATATACTTTTTCATTTCTATTGCTACTGCTTTTACAGTTAATATACACACCGGACCAGTAGAACCTCTTTAAGTCGAATCTCGATAAGTCGAAAACCTCCAAAACTCGAAAAAAATGTTTTGTTCCCTTTCCTTCAAGCTCCAAAACCTTCATTACTCGAAACCTCAACCCTCTATTAGTCGAAATAGTCAGTGAGTCCCTGCAAGCTATTTTGGTACATATTTTCCCTCTATAACTCGAAAAATTAAATTGTACCTCCATATCTCGAACATAACAATGTTTTATATATTTTACAACCTTTACAACTCGATAATTTGAAACTTATTACGTCTATAGTTCGAAGAAAACTAAGGATTTGCCGACAATGTAAGTGTACCATTGTTTCTTAGAAAACAATTTAGGAGTATAGAATAAGTAGTATTACCATTTAAGGAATTTATTCAAGTCAAAATCCTCCATAAGTCGAAAACTCTATAACTCCAATTTTTTGGCGTCTCCCTTGATGTTCGAGTTATAGAGGTTCCACTGTATTTATTAAATAAATTATAATTGCTTGTACTTGCTTATTCTTCCTTTTTCTCTGATAGAGTTACTCGGAACTGCCGCGTACCGAGCGTCATTATTCGATACACGGATCCTTAAAAATATTGCCCGATCCGCTGGTACCATGAAATTGTAGGGTGTTATTTAGTAAGAAATGGCCCTGCTGATTTTGAAAGAGTTTGGCGACCGACGGGAGAAGATTACATGCAATTTTTTCTAGGTGGTATCTATGGTAATTACTATGAAGCTTTACATGTTCTTATTGACAAAGAAAATTTGTTGCTTTCTTGTAACATAAAAACGTTTTATAACCACCTACTTCCGCTTAATACTATTTTCTAAAGCACTATATGTAGAGCGTGCTAATTCCTTAATTTTTTTTATTTTGTACTGATTTCATAACCATTTTATTGGTTAATCTACAAGGAGAACTGAATTAAAATTAATGAAAAATAAAGTTTTGAAACGGTAGAGGATACTTATGGTTAAATAATTTAATAGTAAATTTATATCAACACAGCGACTACTTTGCAGAATTGCAGTTTGGTCGGAGATTTATCAAAACCGCATATAGCGAGGCGTGCTGTTGAGAACTAATAAGTTGGAAATCGCTATCCACATATGGTATAGTTCTAGTAAATTACTGATCAAGAACTTAATGAATAAATTGAAATAGTGTATGCAGGTAATGATTGAAACAGTGTAACAGTCTTGCCAATCTCGTAAAAAGTACGCAAATAAAATTGGTTTTCAGAAGCTACGACGGTCGTTATGAATGTTTTCGTCGTTGAAACGTGTAGGTATTTCTGGAAGTAGATCTTATCTATCTAGTATTGTCTAAGTGCCGTAATTGACATCCGTCTTGCATAGCAGATGGCTCATGCAGTGCTCCTCGTAAGTAATCCACTTTGAAGGATCAATTTCAAAGCACTTTAGCACAAAAAGTTCTTATTCCTTCTCAGCGTAACTCAAGCGCAAGCGATTATTTAACGGGTTTACGTAGATCTCTCTCTCCCTTGAGATTTCAGAAAATGGCATCACTGTGAGTGCATTTTGTCGTAAACAAGTTTATTTAACAATGGTCCGTTTTACGAACAACGACTTCTTTCTTGGACAGATATCTGCATCTTTGGAAACTTTCTATCATCCTAACTAATATTATCAATTAAAAGCGAATGTGTTTGTACGTGTGCTTGTTTGTTACCATTTCACGCTTTAACTACTTAACCGATCGTCATAAAATTTTGTACACACATTGTCAAGGGTACAGGAAAGGACATAGGGTATTCTTTATCTAGAAAGCAAAAACTCTTTTCCCGCAGAATACAAGAATTAGTTTTATGTAGTCGTCGATGATCTCTGACATGTATTTAGTACATCAACACGAGCGAAGACGCTGGTAAAACCTAACATGAAATTTTACACATATTGTTAGGGATTGCAGAAAAGAACATGGGGTACGTTTTATCCAGATGAAAAATACTGTTCCCGAGGGCTAAAGAAATAAATTTTATGTGAGCTTTGACATTTATTTATGATATCAACTGTAGCGAAACCGCAGGTAAAACCTATCATGGAAGTTTGTACACATATTGTCAGGGGTTGCAGGAGAGGACATAGGGTAGCTTTTATCCAGAAGAAAAATAATGTTCCAGAGAGATAGAGAAATCAGTTTTATGTGAGCTTTACACTTATTTAGGACATCAACGGGAGCGAAGCCCCTGGTAAAACCTAGTAATGTGTAATTATTAAACATTGTTCGTTTTGAATCCTTGCAAAATTCTGTGACATTTAAGTTTTGTTTTTTAATGTATATGTGAATGTACTGGACTTGTAAATGTGACTAAAATTATTTATCTATCAAATACCGAAAACGACACTTTTGACAAGTGTAATGGTGAACGTGATTAATTAATATTATCTAGTGTAGGACAATA